TCTCTCTCTCCTTCTCTTTCTTTCCTTCTTTCCTTCCTCTCTCTCCTTCTCCTTTTCTCCTTCCTTCCTTCCTTCTTTCTCTCCTTCCTGTCTTTCCCTCTCTCCTTCTCTTTCTTTCCTTCCTCTCCTTCTCCTTTTCTCCTTCCTTCCTTCCTGTCTTTTTCTTCTTTCTTTCCTTCCTTCTCCTTCCTCTCTCTCCTCCTTTTCTCCTTCCTTCCTTCCTTCCTTCTCTCCTTCCTGTCTTTCCCTCTCACCTTCTCTTTCTTTCCTTCCTCTCCTCCTTTTCTCCTTCCTGTCTTTTTCTTCTTTCTTTCCTTCCTTCTCCTTCCTCTCTCTCTCCTCCTTTTCCCCTTCTTTCCTTCCTTCCTTCTTTCTCTCCTTCCTGTCTTTCTCTCTCTCCTTCTCTTTCTTTCCTTCCTCTCCTTCTCCTTTTCTCCTTCCTTCCTGTCTTTTTCTTCTCTTTCTTTCCTTCTCCTTCCTCTCTCTCCTTCTCCTTTTCTCCTTCCTTCCTTCCTTCCTTCCTTCTCTTTCTTTCTTTCCTTCTCCTTTTTTCTCACCTTCGCCATGAAGCGTCTCTTGGGCTCCCCTGAAGCCCTCCAAACAATTTGCATCAATTTTCATTTTTCTTCCCACCCCAGCCCAAATCTTTCCCTTGCTCTTTCCCCCCCCCCTCTCCAAACCCTTCTGCTGGCCTCTTTCTCTTCCCAAACAGGCTTCTCTCTTGCCAGATTCACTCTGCCCTAAAAAAAAAAAAAAAGGGAGGGAGGGGGAAACACACCATACATTAATTTGATTTTAATATTATGATTATTAAGAGAGAGAAGCAGAGAGATCTCTTAACAGGAAATGAATAACAACCCCAGAGATTTCTTTCTGTGTTTTCGGCATCCTGCACGGTTCTCTCTCTCTCTCTCTCTCTCTCTCTCTCTCTCTCTCTCTCTCTCTCTCTCTCTCTCTCTCTCTCTCTGTGTGTGTGTGTGTGTGTGTGTTTCTGTTGTGTATGTGAGTAAAATGTACTAGCTGAATCACTTTTCTCCCTGCTTATTTTGGTACGGATCTGCTCGCCCCGGATTAGATCATTTCATTTTACTCATTTGGAGAGCAACTCAGCCTTGCCTGGATATTTTTATATATTTTATATATACATATATATATAAAGTTAAGAGGGTTGAAATGCCAAATGCCTCCTTTTTAGCTTGACTTACTCGAGAATCCCCGGAATGAGGTATTGAGTTCCTTAGTGGTTTGCAAAATCGCAAGGCCCTGCCCAGCCCAGTAAATTTGCTTGACAAGGGAACAACAAAAGAGGTCATCTGAATCCATCCAAGTTTGTGAAATGTGATCTCTGGGCCTTTTTTTTTTTTTGTTCTCCTTCTTCCCCTCCAAAACTTTCAAGGGCACCCCAACCCCACATATTTCTGCTCTCCTACCTTGATTTCCAGGTGACTTTTATGTGTCCATTTTCTTCTCAAAAATCTTATCAAGCTTCTTCTTATGCCCAACTGGGACAAAATCCTTTCCGTCCCAGCAAGGGTTTCAACTCCTATATTTTGGGATCCCCCCCAAAAAAAAAGTTGGCAGAAAGCTAGTGTTTTGTTGAGCCTTGCCTTGGGGCTGTCTTGTCTTCAGCCAGAAATATCTTTAAAAAAAACACAACCATCCTTTGGAGCAGGGCCATGGATTCGAAGAAGGGAGTCTTAAAATGCTTGAGAAAGACCTACCTCTGGAGCATGTTGGTTTTTTTTTTTCCCCTGGAGAATGCAATTCCCTTCAAGTTGTTTCAGGTTTTTGGGGCTGCTTTGATTATTTTTCTTCCATGCAGCAAAACTCAGCTCCATTTCAACTTCCACCACAAATAGCCAGAAAAAAAAGAGAAGAAAACAAGAACGGTCAAACCACAAGGATTGAGTGCTGATTTTTTTTTCCAAACAGCCAAGCAATATTCTTGTACAATTTCCTTCCTGCCTAAGTTCATTCCTTCTCTTTTGTTTTTGTTTTTTCTTTCTTTCTTTCTTGCCTGCCTGTATGTGTTTTCTGAGAAATGTTGCATTTAATTGCCAAGTGCGCCGTTAAGCTGACTGCTTAATTCCCCAATAGAGTGTGTGGCAAACGCTGGTGTTTCCTCTCTATTTCAAAAGCAGGCTTAATCCAATAACGGGGGACAAGGGAGCCTTGTCCAGATACCCAGATAAAATCTAATTTTGTGAGGCAAGCTACTACAGTCTCCGATGACCGGGCCGGGATTCTTAAAAGAAAACCAAGACATTGATTCCACATCTTTCCTAGGAAGGTGGACTTTCTTAATAATCAAGATTTATCCTCGTGCGGGAAGGAAAGGACTCCCGAACAGTCTTGGTGGGATCATAATAACCATTTTTTTTTTTTTTTTGCAGAGCAGGGGAAAGCAATTTCTATAAAATATCCACGAGGTGCAAAGACTAAAACTGCAGATTTCAGGGAGATAGTTTATCCTGGATATTTCGCTCTCTTTTCACCAAGACTACCGGCTCACAAAAAATGACATGACAGATGTCTCTCCTCAAAGCTCACAGTGGGCTTGATACAGCCCGGGAGATTCTATGTCTTTTTTCCGTGATTAATGTCAGAATTACCGGGTGCCAAATCTGATGTGGTGAGGAAGCGACATTAAGGGGAGAACGCTTGATGGCGAAAATCAGATCTGATGTTAGGAAAGAGGGGTGTGTGTTTGTGGGGGGGGGCTCATAACATCATTTTTGCATCACTCCGTTCCTTCCTTTTCTTCTTGGCTTCGTCCCAGCCTCCCCCAGCTTAATCTTGAGTTCAAAAATAGTAACCAGGTCTTTGCTTTTTCTCCGGGAGATTATTTCCAACTGGAGGAGTTGGGAAATTTAATCCTCTAATGAGCGAGAAGACAAGGGACGCTTTCAGAGCTTGACCAGGTTAGCTTTTCACCTTTCTTTCTTTTTCTTTCTTTCTCTTTCTTTCTTTCTTTCTTTCTTTCTTTCTTTCTTTCAAAAAATAAAAGCTAGGGGAGCAGAAATGGTGGAGTTTACCCAAAGAAGGGAGACTTAAGAGGAAAGCGGTGATGTTAAAACAGTTTGGGGATCTTTCCGGGTGCTTCTGAACGTGCGCACGGTGGCACTTTGCAAAACCTTGAGCCAAGGATGTGTTTATTTTTTCCCAGCTTGGCCAAGCAATTGGAAGTGTGTGTGTTTGTGTGGTGTCTTCGGCCTTCTGATATTTTTTTAACAGAGTTAAAAAAAAAAAAAAAAAAGCAGACGGTGGGAACTCAGATCTTGCTCTCCCAGGGCAAAAGTGACAGCTCCTTCTGTTTTTGGGATCCTCATGAATCTTTCAAACTGCTGCTTCTGCTGCTTTTCCCTGGTCCAGATGAATCTTCTTGGCAGGAGCTGGGCTGAATTTTCAGTTGTGGGATACATTATTTATGGGGTTTGGCTTCCCTTCTGCTCAGCCCCTCGCTAGATTACTGCTTACTCTTGGGTTTTGTTTTGGTTTTTTTTAGTTTTTTCCCCCTCCGCCTTATTTTATTTAATTTTTTTTTAAGGCACCACTTCTGGTTTCTGTGGATCGCAATGTGACCCGGATTTAACGGGAGGGAGAGAAAAAAAGACAGGAAAAGAAATATATATATATATATATATTGCACACCCGTCCTTTAGAAGCTGCTGTCTTTTCATGCTCTCTCTGGGGACTCTCTTCCGCTCTCTTTTGCTGATACAAAACTTTATTTTTTCTCCCCCACCCTCCAGCTAATCTGACTTCTTTTTCTTCTTCTTCTTCTCTTTAAATCTCTGTTGCAGGCTGCGGTGCCAAAGGAGTGAGTTTCTTCTCCCTTGCTCGTCTTGGAGAAGCTGGACAAGTGGGAGATTTAGAAGCCGATGCGTTGAAGGGTGTGAAACTGTCGCAGGCTGCTTTCTACAAAGAATTAGGGGGAAAAAAGAAGGGGGGCACCAAAGTCACGAATTAATTGTCTTCTTGAACTTTATTGGTCAAGAAACTTGCTTGGGGAGAAATGTGAGGCACGCATTCTATTTTTCCCCCTCTTTTTTTTAGCCTCAAATGTTTTTTTTTCCCCTTAAAGAAGGTGAAAAGAAGCACTTGGCAGCTCAGTGCCATGTAGTGGTTAGCACGAGGGGAGAATAAAAACATAACTCTACTCAACCCTGTAACTTTTTAAGCTCTTCTTCACACAACACTACTCCTCGTCCTCCTCCTCTTCCTCTTCCTCCTCCTTCTTCTTCT